GTGACGGGGAGTAACGCCGGGCGGGTCGGGGCGCTCCCTGCCTTGGGAGGGGTGCGCTCCTCCCCAGCCCGCCCCGCCGGTGCGGTCCGGCAGCGGTAACCGGAGCGCCCGAGTTCAGCCTCGGCCAGGAGTTGGGGAGCATTGCCGTGTCGCCTTTATAAAGGAGCGGGGCACACCGCCCTGCCCTTCCCCTCCCGAGGGGTCTGTCAGACGCGAGACTCTTCGTTATATTCGGGTGTAGGGTTTATAGCCCTTCGGGTTTAGGGTTTATTTCTTAAGGAAAGCATGGTTTCTGGTTTCTCCTCGGGTGCAGCTGCTGCCCGCTCACACAAGAGCTGGCTCGGGGAGTATCTCTACTTTCACAAAACGAACTCGGGGTCCGGGGGTTTCTTCCACTGACTAGGGGTCTGCTTCGTAGGCTGCCCTTATTTGATTCTTCTCTCTCCCCATCAACAAGTGGTAAGAGCAGATGAACCCTGAAATTAAGATCTAGTTTTGCATTTGCAGTTGTTTCTTTCCAAAGATAGAACGAACGATGCAAAACACGTCTTTTCCCCAAACTGTAATTTTTTTTTCCAAACATATTTTTCCAAACTGTAATATTTTACCACATTTTCTTCAGCTGTTCTGTAAAGCTTTGTGTGCTTTTAGGCTGTCAATCACTTTATGGGCAAACATTTTATATAGCTGATCTCTTGTAATATTGAATCATGGACCACCTGGTTGTGTTATAAAGATGTCATTGATGAAATCTGGCTTCCAGAACTAGGGCTTCTTGCCACTCTGTTGATTAATGGGAATATGATTGTATACATGCGAGTAAAAATGTCTTCACTGACCACAGCAAAACAAGAAATGGTTTCCACATCTGCAGAACTGTTGCTGTTCAGACTTTCTGTGTCTGAACACAAGAACACAAAGTTCTGTGTGGTGCCAAATAATAAAGTAGCTTAAAATGCCAAGTTTTTAAGAAATGCCTTGCCTGCAAAATAGCAAGTAGACTGCAAGTCCTGTAGTTAGGAGAATAGATATTGAAACAGAAGGAAATGTGATACAGGTAGTTGTGAAGGCAAAGTTTGTGGCAGGAGAACCTTTTATGATGAAAGCTGAGAACAGAAAGTTTATTAAGGATTCAAGAAAAGGGTTGTTAGCTGAAGCTACATTTAAACTTTTTATTAAGCGTGCAGGCTCTTCAGAGATGAGATTTTATTTTATCATTTTAGTGTGTTCCACTACCTTGTGGAAAAGAACTCTGCTCAGTGTCTGGAGGTGATGATACAGAACCTGTAATTGGGCATGCCGCTGTTGCCCAAACAGAAGTCAGATATTGTACAGTGAACAAAGCCTCGGTTTGTGATTATATTACGTGATGAAACTAAGCGTATTCTGGCTCTCATAGAGAGAAAACTAATGAAAGTGATGCTAAACCAGTGCCACGTGCATGCTTCTGCCTGGCTCTGTTTTGTATGTAAAGCTGTGTGACACTTGTTCCAGTAAAGCAGAGAGGAGAACTGTACTTCTAGCCCCAAACCCTCCAGTAAAGATAAGTAGTTTCAGCAGCTCCATTAGGGCACCCTCGCTACCTTTCACTGTGTTTCACTCTGGTTTAGAGCTCACGGGGTACATAAATGTGGCGTTTCATGGCTCAGTGTGCTGTCTGTCTGAACACATGGCTCATGGCACTGCTTCTCCATAATCCAGTTGTACGTGCAGGGGTAGTGCGATGAACCAAGCCTCTGTGTTTATTTCTTTTTTGGGATATGAAGTTCATGTCAGGTGGTTGGTTTCATGGGAATACATTCGCCTCCAAAGGTACTACTACACTGTACAAACTCATTTAAGCTGAATCCTGCAGAGTTCAGCTGTAGTTCATTAACACAGTTTTAAAGCACTTGTGAAATACACGTTCTAGCTGCTTTCTCTATTAATTTAAAAGTTGAACTGTAGAACAGCTTGAACTTGTGCTTCACTTTGCAGTTTTTATTAGAAAACACAATAAAACAGACCCCCTGAATTCTTATTTGGCCAATGCTGTTCAAGATACAAGAGCTTTGCTCAAATTTACCCAAGTGCTGGCAATCCACAGTTAGTTTAAAAAATGTCTGACTGTCATTCCATATTCATGTTTCCTAGGAGCAAAAGACCTTAAAAAAAGGAGGGAGGGGATTACTCTTTTTAGTTTGGCAGGAATACCACATATACTTACGGTTTATCAGTTCTGATTCAAATTGGAAGAAAATCTGTAAATTTTTTTTTCATATCAGATACTGTCTAGAGGATAAAATAGATAGCATCTTCAGTATTGGCTTTGCAACCACAGAGGATTGCATTGTATATTTTACAGTGATAAATGAGGAATCGTTCAAGTACTGTAAGCTGTGTATAGTAGGCTGGTCTTTAAATATTTAAAGACTAAATAATAGCAGCTTCACTGTATGCGGTGCTTCTAATGAACCTTAAACTATTCTGTATTGCTGTGGGTTTTCTTTCTCTCTTGATGCCTCCCCCCGCCCAGCTTTCTTCCACTTCTTAAAAAGATTAATAGGAATTTGAGCAAATTGTAAGTAGAATCGGGCCTTCCCAGCTGCAGCCAAACAAGCTCAGTGAATTGAAAGTCCCATGAAAAGGCTCCCGTTAAAGCGCTCTGCTTTGGAGAAAGCCGTTCTCTCTGCTGCAGCAGGGAGACGGGAGTCAGGCCCAGCCTGGCGAGGAGAACAACCAGTCACCAGCCTCGTGCCATTGGTGGGTCATTCGCAGGGACTTCAACGTAGAGATGGCATTGGGGTGTCACCAGGGTTAGGCAGCAGGTGACTGAAGGGAGTTCTTGGTTGAACAGCTGTGAAAGTGGGAGCCTAAATTCTGCCTGACCAGAGCAGGGTTTTGGCCCCGAAAAGTCCCGCTTGGCTGGCGGTTATTTCTCGGAGCTGCCCTGAAGGCAGTGAAGCACCAGTGATGGTTGGATGTGCCCCAGCTGCCTGTTTTGTAGCTCTGAGCATTCCCAGAAGGATTGTTCTCCAAGAAAGTATCACTTCATATGGATGCTCTGGGGGCAGGGGTCCAATTCAGCAATTGCAGCCTATGCAGCCCAGGGGGTACTGGAAGGGCTGGAAAGGGTGCGGTTTGACCGCTTTTCCTGAGGCCTGAGATGCTTTACCTTCCACGGGACACCCAGAGCACTGATCCAGGGGTGAGACATAGTGATGAGACATCAGTGAGACACAGGATGCCCTCCTCGGCCCAGGGGAGTGCAAATCCCTTTTCCCTCCTCACATGAGGGTGCCCCAAGTGATGCATTTTGACTCGTGGGTGGGTCACTTGCTGCCCTTCTTGTTGAAGCTGTGATGTTGTGCAGAAAGGAGACTGAGGGAGGGAGAACCACACTGCAGTCGCAACTCATTCTACGATGGGGATACTCACTCGGGGAGCGGGATCCTGAGGCTCGGCTGCCGGAGTTGCATACGTGTTTCGTGTTAAAGCATTCATTGATGAAACACCCCTTTCTTGGAAGAACGTTGGCAGGAAGGGATGCTGGCTCCACATGGATGAAGGTTTCCTCTGGAAGGTCTATATGAGGAATAATTGCAGAGATATACCTGTCTTCAGCGTTTTCTGTTGTCCAAAGTAGCTGCTTAGTTGGTATCTGAGACAGGCTTCTAGATTTCATTGGGAAGACCAGCTACATAACTTTCTAGGTATGTACAACTTTTTTATATTAAGTAACTTACGACAAAAGTCCAGAAGACATCATTGCGATCATCTAATCTGACTTACTGAAGAATAAAAAATAGAATTGTAGTAAATCAATTAATTTTTTAATAATAGTATACCCAGATTTATTTTAGGTACCAGACAGCATCCTGACTTCTTTAATTCCCAGCAAAGCAAATCTTTAAAGCCATCCTATTAATTAATTACCTTTGCTATGTATGCTTGTGTGTGTTTGTAATCTGAATATATCTAGTTTTATAGTGACT